TCTGTTGCTATTTCGCCATCTCGCTGTACGTCGCCTCTGCCGTTTCCTCTGCCGTCGCCTCTGCCGTCGCCTCGTTGCGAGTTCTGGAAGCTTCTGGTAGGTAGCTGTTCAAAGTTCTCAGAACTGTTGTTGTTGGCGTCGTTGTTTCGTCGCCCGCCACTGTCGCCAACTCTAACGCCTAGCTGTCCTTCCTTCTCGGAACCATGCCGAATTCGAGCATTTTCGTCTCTTTCATTCCCGCCGTCTTCTTTGCTCTGGCTGCCGCCGACATTGGCGCCGATCTGGCGATTCAAATTTGCCAGAATTTTTCTCGCCTTGGCAGTTTCCTCGCGCAATTCTCCAAGCGTTTCTTTGGCGATCTCCAGCTCACCGTCGATTTCCACGTCCGTGTCACCTAACTTTTCCATCTCCACACACTCTTCCGGAGCACTGCCTCGAATCCCAATCGGGACCTTGGCTAACATTGCGAACAGCTCCACTTTTGTGCCCTTCGTAGGCAAATTTAACAGCTCCAACCACCGTTTTAATTGCACAACCGTTATATCCGCTATGTTCAAATCCATTTTTTTATTTTATTTTTCCAAATGATGAGAAAAAATTTTGATTCTGATCCCACTTCTGAAGTTTGTGGCCGTCTTTTAGTTCTAAACACTTCTTGTTCTTTTCTTCTCTTACTAATATTTCTTTATTATTTAATCCTAAACTTTTATACTTGGTTTTATCTATTCTTCACTCTTGTCTTTACACTTTTGTCTTTACACGTCTACTCTCGTTCCGATCTTCTCACCAAGTGCTCTGCCGCTCTCAGCAAACACTCAATCAACCCCCATTCTTAGCCAGTCGCTCTCTCATGTTCTCTTTTGAGAGAGCGTAACATCTCAATTAGAGTGGCCAGAGCATACTTATCTTAACTGGCCTGCTACAATTGTTATTATGGAAGCGCAGCAAAGCAGAAATTAGGTTAAATTAGAACAAAGAGCAGAGAGCAGATAACAAAGGCCAAGCCAGATGGGGGAAAAAAGGGAAAAGAGGAGCCAAAAAAATAAAATAAAATAACAGGCAAGCCAGAGTAGCAACAAAATAAATAAAAATACAAACAATAAAATTGCACAGGTGGCCGCCACGAGAAAGGAATACCAGAGCCAGAAAAAATAGACAAAAATGCTTTTGGTTTTGGGTCTGTGGGTGGTGGTGGTGTGTGTGTGTGTGGCTGGTTAAATTTAATCAACTTTTCTATATTTGATTAGTCGGAACCACAAAAAATACAACAAAAATGTACAGAAATACTGTACAAAGGCGTGGGAGTTGAAAGTTATGCAAAAACCAGAGAAAACCTTTAGGGACGACTCTAGGCAGAAACCAGAGACACTGAATTCCAAGAAATGCCTCGAAGAAATATTAAACATAAATAAATAAGGGAAAGCCAAGGGAAAACCAGGAAAATATGCCAAAAGGTTGCTATGGCGCATTCTAGAAAGATAAAAATCACATATCCCTTAGCAATTGGCCAGTGTAAACACTCTGAAACATAATTGAATATTCTTGCTGGGGAAATATAATTAACTGACTTGAGTTAATACCCAAATAAAACTTGGCCAAAAGTCAAGACCCAAAAAGGTGACAGCAAAGCATCTGCAGGTGACAGGACAGGCAGGATTTCAATATATATTTTGCACAACTCTAATTGCAAACTGTCTGCAGGACTGATGATGCCTTCCATATGTACATGTGTTATGTGTCCAGGCATTATGTAACAAATGGCTTTGATGAAAGCTGTCACTTGCAACAGTTGGGCCCAGAGATACGAGCGATACGAAAAAGGAACGCAAATGTTTATCATTGGTTATTGATGCTCCTCCCTGGGCTTGGGCATAGGTATATTGTACGCATGAGAGACTGGCTGTTAAATTAGCAGGGCAAACAAATGCCAGGCAGGAGCAGGAGCAGGAGCAGGAGCAGGAGCAGGAGCAGGAGCAGGCGCACACCCCGAAGGCAGTCTGACACGGAGGATCTGGTTTCGGTTTCAGAATACAACACACACAAACTAAGGCGAAACCCCGACTCTCCACATCCAAACATTTTTACCTTATTTATGTTGATATTTGTTTTGCTTTTGTTTCATGTTACATACCATCCATTCTCTCTATATGTATACTCCTTATACTCCTTTAACTGGCACTTCTGCTGCTGTTTCTGTTGCTGGCAATTTGTTTGATTGTTCAAGAGCAGGAGCAGGAGCAGCTCGATGTTTGTGTTAGCCCTTTTTCAGCCAGAATATTCTTCTTATATACCTGATATTTATTTCATGAGTGAAATTATTTTTATTGATACATTTGACAGGGTACTCTCCTCTCAGAGGAGGCTCAAGGAGTCTCCGATTTCCCAGCAAGTGCCTCTTTTCAATTTTCTGAGAAGCTTCAACAAAAAAATTAAATGTGCTTTTGTGGTAGAAATATGTTAGTTGGAAATTATGCCCACGTCTGCCAGTTTCTTTCTTTTTTTTGTGGCCAGGGATCAGGTTGACGTTGACTTTGAGGTCGTCCTGGTCATGTCCTAGAGAGAACGAGAACAGGCTTTTCCTACTGCCCCCCCGAATGCGCATTAACTTAATGGCATTTTGTGGCGCCCTCGTCCTTGCCCTATCTTGTGCTGAGCGTAACTTTTTCAAGCATCGCACAAAAGTCCTATTAAATTTTTACGACAATTCGCCGTGGAGCAGGACGAAGCAGGAGCAGATTTCTGTGCTCTTTTTCTATGCGATATGCAGCCATTCGCATCCCCTTTGGAATCGCTGTCGCGCTAATAGCAAATCCTTGTTAGCTTTCACTTAAGTATGGCATGTAAAATTTTCACTTTTAATCCATGAGCCAGGCAGGCGGTCCTTTTGTTATGGATGGAAATTAATTAGTTCAGCAGGTCCTGCTTCCTGCTTCCTGCTCCCTTGTTTATTACTTAACACATACACACACAGATATACACAGGCAATCTTTGGGTACACGGAAAACACTTCAAATATTTATGCTTCAATTTCGATTTCAATTAACGCGGCCATTGGCCACACACACACACACAGACAGAAAAGAAAATTTATTTGTTAGGTGGAAGTTGTGTCTCCGCTGCGGGAAATTTGAGCTGCATAAATCACATTTAATTATACCGTTGATGGGCGAAATTTATATGCCAGAGCAGTGTGGCACCTTTCCGCCTTCGATATATATACAAGTACATATATATGCTCGTTCCGTATATATATGTTATATTGAGGATTTCTCCGTTTTGATGGCCACTTCCCGTCTCGGCCAGAGTTCATATAAAACGCGAACGTGTCGTATTAGCCGCGTTCGTGACCTTTCACATAAAACAACGCCAGGGAGCCGCAGCCCAAGGACCGCTATGGAACGTGCGTGAAGGCAGAGCAAACAAAAGAGAGAAAAAACAACAACGGGGAAAGCGGGGAAAAAGGAAAAGCGCCAAAAAAACACACTGGCCCCAGCAGCCCCCAAAGTGTTCGATGCCGCCGTCGATTGAGGCACAAACGCAGCTCGGGCATAAATATTCATGAATATTTTCCATATTTCTGTTGATCTTCTGTTGCCTTTTCGCCAAACGAATAATTGAATTTGATTTTGGAGGGGACGCGGGTGTGTCATGCTGGCCAAAAAATATTTCGTAAAATGAAATACATTTACGTGTGACTTGTTCCGCGTATCTCTGACGGACGGAGTAAGTCAAACAGTGAATCAATTTGAGTGAATTTTCCTTGAAGCCAAATAGTGCAGGCTTAATAAGCATATTTTGCATATTATTTACTTATTTTCCAAGAGGAATAATATGCATAAAGAAAGTCAATCAAGAGGAATTTCAATATGAAGAGTTTCTCTTTTAATTGGGGAAAAGTGACTTTTCTTTTGTCAGTTAAGCCAGGGTCAAGGCAAACGGAAAAGCTTTGAAAGAGGGAATTAAAATGAGCAATTAATTTATCTTTCCCTTCTACTTTTTTCGTTACCCTTTTCTGAGGAATATATATATATATATATATATCACAATTGCGACACAAACACAGACGGTTTCCATTCATACACTCATTGCATTCATTAGCAGGACACTTTCTGCCAGCAAGCTAGCATCCTTTATTAGTCAATTACTCGGGGACATTTCTATGACGGATGGCCATCACGAGCATCGTGAATGAAAGGATAACCAGAAAAACGTACCGAGTGGGAGAGATACTGAGAACCCACACAGATCCTCTGGCGATGTGGGCTATGCATTCATTGAGAACGCCATGAATGTGACCCAAATGGCATTACCTTGGTTTACACGGCTACAACAGCTCCACGCTGTCGCTATCGCTGTCGTCGTCATCGTCGCTGTCACTCTGCAAAATTATTTCTATGCATATTGTATGCATGTGGAAATTTATGCAGCTTTTACCACCGAGCGCCAAGGGATGCATCTCCGGCTAAGGGGGATGCAAATCCAGCGAAGGCGGCATCAAGCAGCTCCGGGGATTTACACGCTTTGGGCAAAGCTGCAGCTTGAGCTGCAAGCCCTGTTGCAGCTGACATTATTGTTGCAGATTCCAGGCTTCATGCTCCACGCTCCACGCTCCATGCTCCTCCTGGCTCATCCACTCATCCCATCCGCCCCACCCATATGCAACATGCTCCGCTTGTCTGCCTGGTTATGAAATGCATTTATAATAAATGGATTTAGCATTCAATTCCCAGCACATAATCCTCGCCGCGAGTAACAAAAGAATCTCGGCCAGCTTACAAGCACTTCCCGCTCATCATTCTCGGGTGTGACTTTCTTTTGGGAAATAAAATAGGAACAAATTAAATGAAATTTGTCTGGGAAGACTGGGTTAAGGAAAAACATCCAGAAACAACTTTAAATTTAACATGTTTGACTTGAAAAGATAAACTAGAGTTAATAATTACGATTTCGTACCTCATTTTTACTAAGTTTTTTCCCTCTTTTCACTTTCTTCCTTCCAGTCCAATGGCCTGGAACTCTCTGCCGATCACAAGCGTCGTCATTGCCGCTTCCAGAGCGAACAGATCCATCAGTTGCAACTCTCCCAACGCAACCTGCGCCGCCAGGTGAACGAGCTGAGGTTCCATCACATCGACGAGCGTGTGCGCAGCATCGAGGTGGAGCAGCATCGCATTGCCAATGCCAACTTCAACCTGAGCAGCCAGATTGCTGCTCTGGACAAGCTTCACACCTCCATGCTGGAACTGCTTGAGGATGTCGAAGGACTGCAGACGAAGATGGACAAGAGCATTCCAGAGCTGAGGCACGAGATCTCCAAGCTGGAGTTTGCCAATGCACAAATCACCTCGGAGCAGAGTCTGGTGCGTGAGGAGGGCAAGAATGCAGCCCGATCCTTGCAGGCCATGGCCGTGAGTGTGAGTGTCCTGCAGGAAGAGCGTGAGGGCATGCGCAAGCTGACAGCCAATGTGGACCAGCTGAGGACCAATGTGGATCGCCTGCAGTCGCTGGTCAATGATGAGATGAAGAACAAGGTGGGTACTTAGGATCACTTTTGAATACTACTAGAACTTTGCATTGGATAGAAAAGGAATTTATTGTTTGATTTCTCACTAATTAAAAACTTTCTCCTTTTATTTCTCTTGCTTTCCTGCAGCTCTCGCATTTGAACAAGCCCCACAAGCGACCCCATCATCAGCAACTGCAGCTGAACCAGGACCAGGAGCAGGACTCACACATAGACTCCGCCCTGGCCGAGACCCTGGTCAGTGAACTGGAGAATGTGGAGACGCAGTATGAGGCAATTATCAACAAGCTGCCCCATGACTGCAGCGAAGTGCACACCGAGGCGGATGGACTGCATCTCATTGCACCCGCTGGTCAGCGTCATCCCCTGATGTCCCATTGCACTGCCGATGGCTGGACGACAGTGCAGCGTCGCTTTGATGGCAGTGCCGACTTCAACCGCTCCTGGGCGGACTATGCCAAGGGATTCGGTACGCCTGGCGGTGAATTCTGGATTGGGAACGAGCAGTTGCACCATCTTACCCGGGACAACTGCAGCCGGCTGCAGGTGCAGATGCAGGACATCTACGACAATGTCTGGGTGGCGGAGTATGCCCGCTTCTACATCTCCTCACGGGCCGATGGCTATCGCCTGCAGATTGGCGCCTACAAGGGCAATGCCTCGGATGCCCTTAATTACCAGCAGGGAATGCAGTTCTCCGCCATCGACGACGATCGCGACATCTCGCAGACGCACTGTGCTGCCAACTATGAGGGTGGCTGGTGGTTCTCTCATTGCCAGCACGCCAATCTCAATGGGCGCTACAACCTGGGCCTGACCTGGTTCGATGCCGCTCGCAACGAATGGATCGCGGTCAAGTCCAGCCGGATGCTGGTCAAGCGTCTGTCCGCCGCCGAGTGCCAAGCGAGCGTCGCTCCCGCCGCTTTCGCTTCTGCTTCCCCTTCCGCTTCCGTTGCGCCACCGACGGTGGCAAGCAGGACAGCGAACACGGCGGAAGCCACGACGGGAGCGACGCAGCCGAGCGGCGTGGTGCAGTTCGTGACCGAAAGGCAGGCGTAAGTGAGCTGTTTTCCCGCCAAATCCCCGGAGGGGGGAAAACTGCTACAGTGAACCACCAGAGCCATGCCTACTATAGTTGGCAGGGCACTGTTTGTCTACAAGATCTAAAAGATCCCGCGGCAGGATCCCCGCCAGTGTAAATAATCAGCGGATCAGACCTAAGTTGTAGCATTAATCTTTGAACGGAGCTTACACTCACACTAGGCGTATGCGTAATTTAGTTGGCCAACAAACCAGAGACCCAACCCGTTCCACCCATATTCCACCCGTATACATATTCGATTCTTCGGTCTTTCAACAAGATCTCATAGAGGCTTAAGTTCCGCAGCAGCAAGTGGCTCAGACCAGACATGGAGCCAGCGGGAGCATATCATTTGAGAGAGTGCAGAGTTAATGTCTAGACATAATCGATCCCCAACCCCCAAAAATCCCTAAAGATAGAACTAAAACTTAAACTAAAACTAAAGCTAAAGCTAATCTAGTGGTAATGTGTAAAAGAGGCCTACTCCGCTTAGGCCCATCTCAGACAAATAATAATATACATATATACGGCGGATCACTTGCCGCAGCATTAGGTTCTAGTTGTAGCTATTAAGGCCACCATATCAGTCATATGAGGTATACAACCACTAGGAATAGCGTTGAGTAAATATGTACTTGTAATTGTTGTACCATAAAATAGTTTCTCCGTGCTTGCTAAGTGTCTGCTTCAGTCCAAGTCAAAGTTTAAGCCCGAACCTAAAACCGAAACCGCCCCTTAAAATAGAACCGATGGAGAGTCGCATGCCAAAGAGATCGAGTCAGAAATAGTGACAGCAGAATGCCAGTTTATATGAGAAGCACAAATGACTATTTTCTGCAGTTTTGCATATACCAAAAACAAATGAAAAAACAAACAAGAAAGGAAAAGAGCGCGGGGCAGAAACCACAAGAGCTAATTAATTGCATTTAGCACTTAAGTTATAAACTATATGATTATTATGTATACATTAATTTTATGTCCTGTAAATTAAGCAACTGAAAACGGAAATGCCAGAAAGCCGGAAAGCCGGAAAGCCTGGAAGCCAGACCCCCGCTTGGGTCCTGAATACCGGCGCATTTTACAATAAATGGATTGATGTGAAAAGAAAAACCCGTGAAGAAAATATGGCAATCTTTTAATCATGTGTGGAGGGGAAGTAAAGTGCGTGAAGTCCGCACTCAATATATTAATTAAACTGTTTTAATTATAAGATGCTTTTCTCCCCCCTTTCGAGAGCGCGCGGAAAAGTATGCTACGGATTTCACTCACTCGCGTATAAGCAAACACGGAAATGGAGATATATATATATTTCAATTGAAAGATGTTTGCACCCGAAGTGCAGACGCAATAGTTTCCGTATTTTCCCCATTTTCCCTATTTTCCCCCCTTCTGATTTCCTTCCTTGGGAGAGAAGGAAGGATGGAGAGTGCTTGGGGCCATTTATCAGCACGTGAAAAGTTGCCAACTGCCAGCCAGGAACTTTAATAATGCAAAACTCAAACATTTTTCATCATCTCGTTATATTGAGACCTCCTAAAACGAAGGGGGCGGCGCTCACTGAGTGGGCGTGGCCTGACACGCTGATCTCCTTATTTATGCATTTATTTTGTTGACATTTTGCAGTCAAAACTTGCTGAGCTGCAAATGGATAACTGGCTCTTTCTCTGACTTCGACGTTCGTCGCTCGTAAGGAAAGTTCAAAGTGTGTGCCCCAAAAAAAAAAGCAGAAGAAAAAAAGCAGAAAATATGTAAAAAATGCTACAAAAATCGCATTGAAATGAGAAATGCAGAGCAATTTTGTTATGCAAATGCGATACACACACACAGAGGGAATCAGAGAGAAAAAGCGCACAAATTGACAGCGACTGGAGAGAGTGTTCGAAATGTAAAACTTGTGACATTTATTTATAGAGAGACAACAAACCGGATTCGGCCAGTCGTCCCATTACCCATGCCCCCGCCGGAGAAGTGGCTTTTAAATTCATTCCCGGATCCTACTTGGGGTCGCTCCTACGGTCAGCAAGTCAACACAGGAGTTTCTGCACCATTTAACCTGAGAGCGTTGAGCATGGAGCGTCTTGCGAATGAAATCAAATTTGGTGTGAAGCCAAAGAGAATTGTTGTTGTTGCTGCTCCTGTTCAACAAGGACCCAAAGAAATGAAAATTGCGTACAAAATGGGCACTCAGAACAAGGAAGCAAAAAAAGGAAAGCGCTTCGGCTGCTTCTGGCTCACCTCCAAAGCAAATAAATGCGAAAATGGAAAAGCGTTTCGCACGCATTTAAAATGGAAATCATTTATGGTCGAGCGGGCTTCCGGCACTCATTGTGTGTCGTCCCCGTCGCCCATTTGCATTTCCGGCAATTAACAAAGGACTCGGCCAAGGATAGTGCATCCTCTCAAACAAAACAAGCCAAGTGAACTCAGCCACGAATTGATGCATAGTCTTTTGTAATATATTTTGTAATATTTACAGGATATTTACTATAACTTCTTTTGTATGTTTCTCTTTTAATTTTTTGCAGTTTTTCAGCTTTTCATTTTTCTCTCTTTTTTTTTGTTTAATGCATTTTATATATAGAATGTGCAACATGGCGTATGAGCAATTAAAATGCCAACCAGCCAGCGCTTAAGCATAATTATCATAATTAATACCAAGCTTTGTAATCGACTAAAGCCCGCCCCAGCTTGGCGAAAGCAAAAACAATTTAAATGCGAGTATTTTATATGCAAAAATATATTTCACTCCATTTTATTTTATGTCTGACACACATCTCAACGGTTTAATTAAAAGGCATAATGCCTTAAGCCCGCCAGCAGCTCAGACCGAGTAGGGTTCGGGTACGTTTGGCCTGGAAGAAACAAAAAATAAAAAGTTACAATAAATTTTTACGACTCTAATGCGGAGCCCAAATGACACAGAAACCCTGAGGCATAAAATGGGGTAGGGCGGAAGGGTGGAAGGACACCATATGTGTGTCCTGGCAGGGGGCAAAGAGCAAACGCTTGTTAGCTTTCTCTTTTAATCAGCTCTCGACGCGTAGTTTTGGCCCCGTCGTCTTCTTGCGGCTGAGCCAGATAATAGGACTGCTCTGGCAGCGCGTGTGTCCTCGTGGAAAAAGGGGGAAATATATGCTAATTTTAATTAGCCCAAAATTTACATATGCCACGCACACTATCCAACGTTTTCCTTGCTCTTTTCCAAGAGGCAGAGCCACTCAGTCACCACATACTACTCATGGCAATGCCAGAAATTGGTTAGACATTTTTTGGAGCGCAGCTCCTCGTCCTGCGGCACAGCTAATTCAATATTTCAATGAAGTTAAAAGTTCAGTAAGAGATTTCTATAATTAAATGGGATTACTTTCGTAAGTGAGTCTGCAGCAGAATTATAATTAGGGGGAGAAATGACAATGTTTTATGTCTGCAAAGTTTGAATTCTTATATTCTTAAGGCCACGAATCCTGTTTTTGTAATTATGTTTATATTTTATGTTGGGTCTTTTATGGATTTAAAGTTAAGAAGTTGTTGTGCATCATACATTTTGTATTTAAGATAAAAAAATATAATAATGTATATATCATATCCTCTGTTGCATCAAATTTCCCAATTATATTTTATGATTTTTCATTTTCACATTGTCAATTTTAATGCTTAAAACATTTTCCTATTTGCATTTTAAATGGATTTTAAAAGCATTCAAAATGATGGCTAGACATTTCGTATAATTTATGGTGCAATCTGATGGCCTGATATAATAACAACCGCAACATATTTGTATAACTTTCCCCCTTGGTTTTTGGTTAATTAAAAGTGGATATTGCTCAATTAAGTAGAGAATTTAATAAATATTCAATGAGGGGCTTACTTCTTGTTCACTGTTTTATTAAAATTTGAAAACTATGTCATACGGGCACATCAAACTTTTCGAATCCTCCCCAAATCCTTGACATTTTCCTTTACTGCCGTCTGGCCAAACAGAGGGAAAAAGCAATCATGCCTTTGTGGGCCGAGTCTCGAAAGTCTGAAGAGATCCTTTGCTCCTTTGCTCGCTTCAGCCTATTTGCTGCTGTTTGCCCCTTTTGAGGACCTTTGCTTTTTTATTTTTTTTGCGAGGCGAAAAGTCGCAGTGCATTAAACTGGCGGGGAAGGAAAAACGGAAGGGAAATGGAGGAATAAAAGTCAGCCCGAGAGTCTTATTGTTTTCTGGTTTTTATCTACGAGCTGCTATTTCAGCTCTGTCACTGCTGCAGCTCCTCCTGCCACGTTTGGCGATTATTGTTGCAAAGTTAGTTGACAACTTGCCGGCCTCCTCCCGGCTGGTCTTAACCCAGGACACTAGGACACCAGGACACCAGGACATCAGGGCATCAGGACACCACCCCCATGCAGATGATGGGCCGCCAAGCGTAATAAGGCCGAAGCCAGGCGGAGTCTAGTGAAAATAAACAGTTGGACAGAGGGACAAAGGGACAGAGAGACAGCCAACTTGGGCATAGTTCCTCGGCATCGGCATCTCAGTTTCTCAGTTGCTCAGTTTCTCAGTTCCTCAGTATCTCAGTTTCGCAGTTGTGCAGTTTTTTGCAGTTTTTGTAGCTCCTGCAGCGCCTGCAGCTTCCCAGCTTTCTCAGTTTCTCAGTTCATAGTTAGCCTGTTGTCTCCTCATTGTCCTTGGCCATTCCTTATTTTCAGTTCAGCTCGTCTACTCTCCGGCTTTGGCTCTATATTATTATTATGTCTTGGCCCGGGACGGAAAAGTTTGCCATTCTATAACGACTTTGAATTTTTAATAATACCCCCGCTGGAAGTCGTCTAGCTTCTCTCGGTTGAAGCGGCTTAGCATTGTTACGAATTTAATGCGTTTTTATTTTGGTTGAGGATCGTGGGGCATCACGGGAAATTGAATATCCGTTAAGATATATTAACAATTTATGCCCCCTGATTGCCGGGCCACGATACCAGAGCCACGATGTAGCCATGCTTTGTGAGCCAAATTGAAAGCGAATTGAAAATGAAACGGAACCAAAATACCCACAGATATATATATATTATATATGTATATGGCAGAGGGGAAGGAACCGAATCGGGAACATGGAGCATGGAAGAGCATGAGCAGTCGAACTCATCGTCAGGACCATAATGAGCAAGTCAATAGCCTGGCCAGTAACTGGAGAAGAGCGGGAGGAGCAGGGCAAGAAATGGAGGAGCGGCAGGAAAAGCCTGACTGGCAATCGATGATGGAGCAAGGAAGCTGCTGGCAGCCAGGAGCCATTCCCTTCTCGTCATGCAGCGGCAGGGACGTGCGATAAAAAGCAGATTGCAATTTGTTTTACTGATTTCCATGCTTTCGGCTTTATTTGCACGACGGAAACTTTCATTAACATCAAACAGAAACTGAAATCGAGGCAGTAATGGCAATTTCAACGACGAACGGCAACGGCTGAAGACGAAGCCCTGACGAAAACGAATTTAAGTCCAAAATCTTTAGTTACCCCGGCTAGTGCAACAGTCTCACATTAAGTTGCATCCTTCGTTTGGCCAATTTTGGCCACTTAATTGATACAACTAGTAACTAGCCTCAAAAAGGACAAAGTGACGACGAGTGGGCGGCCTCTGACACCTCACAAAATTCCCCAAATTCGTTGGGTAAATTGCACAGACTATGCACAAGTCCTACTACAACCAATTAGTTGGCAAATAATGGAGAGAAATGACTTTTCATCTCTGGACCGCAAACAAAAGTCCTTTTGTACTTCCTTCCCTCGCAGTGGCAGTGGCAGGAGCAGGAGCAGAAGCAGGAACCGGAGACGGAGGCCACTTTATTTATGCATGGCGTCTGGCTGTAAGGATGTCGAAGAGTGGCCGCAACTTTTGTTGTGTGTTTCAAGTAATTTGAACAAATTTGCGAGACATTTTGTGGCCTCGGTGCAAATATTTTAGGCCTGACCTAACCACCCCCATCATCATCATCATCATCATCATCAAGAACAACGTCGTCATTGTTCCGCCTTGTCCTTTGCGGACAAAGGCCAATTAACTTAAATAATTAGCCAAAAGTTTTGCCGTCGAGATGAATCTCTGCCGGTCGAGCTGGTTAAGTAATTTCAATAAAATGTTATCATTCTGTTTGTTGTCGAGTCGCCCCAGAAAATCCAATCAATTATCAGCCTAAGGGGCGGGGGGCAAATATTCACCCACTTTCTCAGCCCCAATTCCGGGAATCCCAATTCCAAAACCGAATCCCCAAAACAGAGGTCAAACTCACTCACCCTCTCACACACCGTGGCATGGGCAACAAGCTGCGTCGTCGCCAGGTCGATGCGGAAGAGCCAGAAGGTGGTCGGCCAAAGAAACCCCCAGGAAGATGGCCCCTCTGGCGGGTTATCTACTGGATTGGCATTCTCATCCTGGTGGTATTGCTCTGTGTGGGCATGTACTTCACCCTCGAGTCGGACTTTGGCGACTGCTCGTCCTATGATGTGCGCTGTGATTGAACGCTCCCGAGGTTATGTTAGACAGGTAAACGTACCTGTGTCGGGATCAAAAGCTGTCTGTTTGGTGTCAACAATGTTTTAAGGTGAGTAACCTATAAGAGGAGAGGTCTAACAGCTTTATGAAGTAATTTATTTCATCAAATTTCAGATTTATTAATTAATATCAAGATGTTTGCTCGCCGTGATATTAGCTATGAGCGCCACAAGGTCGATCGAAGTTGGACGTATGTTTTCATGGTTGTTCTTTTGATTATAATCGCTATTTACATAATCATATTCGCTTATTATTATTTCCTTGCTCCTGATAAAGAGCAATACTCCGTGAGTGTTATTTGTACACCGCTATATATTGTAGTACTAACTCATGTTTCAACCTCCCGCAGCTACTATAAAATAACAAAATTTTCCATGATTCCTTTTCTATGCATATGTTATGTATCTGAATTAAATAGTCATAGTTATTATATTGTACTATCTGTTCATTTGCACTGCCGCTCACATGTGGTCTTGGATTTCCAATTAATGCCAGATTAAGACCACCCCATTGTTGATGAATACAAAGACAAGGACACCAAGCCATGAAGCACACTATCCTGTGCTTCACATGCAAATATCCTTGGTTTTCGTGTCTGTCTGAGTCTGTGTGTGTGCGAGCATCCTGATGCCATTCAAACTTATTGGAGCGCTTCCTTTTGATGGCGTCCCGGTTGACTCCTCAATGGCGAAACGCGTTTTAGTTGAATGAAGCTAGTGAATGCACATATTTGGCTTTAGATAAGAGAGAAATCCATGTGGCTGCACCGGCTGCCAATTATTTGTAGTATTAATTAACAGAGCGAAAAAATATACGCCCTTTTTTCGTGTATTTCCGAATTTCAATAGAAAATGCTTGCAAAATAAACAACTAATTATCAGTTTTATATATTTACCTGAAAGTGGTTTCTATTTTATTTATGTGTGTATATTTTAAGGCTCGAAAAGTAATTAGTTGGCTCTAGCCCTACAGCTGATTTCTGTTCCTTGTTTAAACATTTATTTCGTGTGGCTCAACTTTTTTGTAATTCTAAAATCCTTATGAGGAGCCATCAGTCAAGGTCGGGCTTTACAAAGATTTGTCGACGATTCGGGCTTTTATTTCTTTGACACTTTGCCAGACTCCAGCAGGTGAAATAAAAATAAACTTTTTAATGAACTTCAAGATTTATTGCCTGCAGCATCAGCAGCAGCAGCAGCAGCAGCAGCCGCAGCATCTGTCTGACACTTTGTGGCCTGAAATTTCGGTTTTGGAATGTGTGGTGTTGCTTAGAGAAATTATACGCACAATGTACTGCCAAGAATCCGCAGGGCTCTTTAAGGGAGCCAAACTTAAAGCATTCCCAGTGGAATATTCTGCAAGTAATTGCAGCCGGGAAACCACAAATAATATCTTAATGCTTGCTCTGCATTTTATGAGCTTCCCATTGGTTGCACACAGACACACGCTGCGTATGCGTAATGCCGATAAAATGGCATTAGGATAATTGAACAGTCGTCCAGGCCAGAGTCATGGGATTAATTCTGGACAGGTGAAAATGTAAAATTCACAAAGCCCCAGCGACTAATAAGCCTATTAAAAGGAAACATGTGGAGGTTGAGAGAGACTTTAATGATAATTAACAATTTCCAGCTATCAATTATCCCAGAGACGAAGACGCAGCGCAACAGATATTGAACTTGAAAGAGTCCCAGCTCAAGGATTAGTCTGGTAATGCCCTCTGTCCTATGACTCTCCGTCTGCAACTGTATCTTGGGGTGTATCTGTATCCGAATCCTCTTCCTGCTTTCAACAAATCCCTGGCTCGAGCACAAGCGATTTGGCAGCAGTGTATTGACCCAATTGTGCTTACTTCTCTCTTACCAACGAACTCGAATCCTGGGAAGGGACAGAGGGGCTATGGAGGCGAATACGAAAACAAAAAACGAAAACTTTGGCTGCAAGTTAAGCTGGCCAAAAACTTCAGGTTGAAAACGGTACGGAGTCGCCGGAGTGCTTAGCCAGCGATTGCTTTTGGTCAGGTCCTTAGTCCTTGATCCGGGCTTAATTTGTGCTCGATTGGCCAGTAAAAATGCGAACTAAATCTGAATCGTGGCGGGACAATTCAACAGGCACGTAGTCCTGCTGCTGCCAGGACACAGGAGAACCAACGACGGGAAAAACAACGGACGCTGACATCACCAACATGAAGGACAAACAAAACATTTGACATAATGTGCGGATTTTTGTGTCGCATAAAATGGTATATGGCAGATGCACCTCTCTCCTCCTTATAAATGGTGACACAAATAAAGGATGGCACGTGCTGCGAGTGTGTGAGTGTGTTTGTGTGTGTGTGGTATGTAAATAACGCACACCCCGACGCGTGAGTGAGTGTGCGAGTGTGTAAATGCTGTGTTTGCGCTTCCGTCTGTCAGGATGTTATGTGTTGGATGTTGAATGTTGAATGTTGGATGTGTGTGTGTGTTGCCGCCGTGTTGTTTATGCTCATCGTCCTTGTAATGATTGTCGCCAGCCGCCTGCACGTGCTTTCCTGTTCGATATTTGCCTTGGTCGCCACCCATTGTTTCCCAGTGTTTATTTTCTTTCTTCTTCTTGTGTAAGGATCTGTGTTTAAAACCGAACTCGTTTCAAGTGCTCCAGAGTCCCTGATTGCCGAGTGTCCTGGTATTTGCATTTCATTGCATATCCATGGCTTAAATTCGTTATGCATCTTAGTACGTATCCAATCGTGGCTGGGAATATATCTCAAGAATGAAGATATATTTTTAAGGGGATAGGAATAAATTAAAAACCAAAAGCATTTTGAATTTGTATAATATATTTAAAACACGGTAATCCTGTTAATTTCAAGGATTATTTTGTAAAAATACATGGTTCAATGATGTAAGGTTAGCTCATTTGAAAAAACGAAAACCGAAGCATGATTTATGGTAAAGTTACACCAAAAGACTGGTGTTACTTTTCACTTATAAAAATTGCTGAGTTCATTTTTATGGCAAGTACATAAGTATATTGGATATCAAATTATTATACTAACTTAAAACGAGAGCTTGGCTCTTGGTTTTGGGCTCTCGCATAAATCTTGTTCCCCAGCTGGAGCTGAAGCAGGAGTTGGTCCTGAGACTGGAGCTGTTACTGGAACCACAGCTCCCATCTATCCATCATGGCTAGCAGATAGCTTAAAGACCACTCAAGCACTCAGGAGCAGATGATTACCCAAACGAAACCGAAGGAGCAGACATCCTGCAGATCCTGCTGATGCTGCTCCTGCTCCTGCCATCCCTGTGTGCTTCCGAGGTCGTGTCCCCTGGCCGGGCCATTGTGGCTGCCCATGCATTTGGCCTGCATCGGAAACAAGAAATTGTAAAGTGCATGAATACGAAATGAACTGCGAGTACATTAAAGTCCTTTTTCCCTGTTTTTTTTTGCCAGCCCCCTTTGGCCGTTTGGGTCCCCTTTCCCTTTTTGAAAACGAGAATGAATACACTCGAGCGTAGTTCGCAAATACTTCAAATACTTCACATGCAATAAAACACACAGAAGGAGAAAAAAGCCAAAACGGAAACCGCAGTTACAGATACACAGATACACAGATACAGATACACGAGAGAGCGGGAGGGCAATACAGCTGGGAAAGAGATGGCACTCGAACAATTTGCATTGTCTGCTGCCGGCCATTGCGGTTTGTCCGGGATTTCCGTTCGATGTTTTTTCATTTCTTTTCTTTTGTTTTCCCCCCATTTCCCACTTTCCCATTTGTACGGCCTGCAAGAGATAAAGCCATGAATTGAGGCATTAATTGAATTGATTGAAATTGGCATCAGTGTCGTCGACAAAAAAGAGTTTGGACAACTTTCCCACTTCGCATTATGCAAAAACCAAAATAGCCAAAAAAATAGGCTTCATGATTTTTTAAAATAAACTGATCCGATACAGGCATCTATCGCTAATAGAGCGGGTAATCTGTTTGTTTTATTTTAATTGTAAAATAAATTTAACAGAGAACCAGAAATATATGTAAAGTGGTTAAAAAAATGGAGGCCAAGCTGCAAATGAATGTCTAGCCTTCTTACATTACCAATATTTCATTTTCGACTGGTTTATATAAATTTAAAGGTTCTCAGTTGCTTCAGATATAATTATTTCCAAATTATTATCAAGCTGCTTCTTTTAACATCGTCAATTGGTTTATTTCATTTCATTTGTATTCAATGAATTTCCGTGAATATTTACTGTTTCGTAAACAATTTATATTTTTATTTGGTTGAAAGTTTTGTTTTAATTTTCGATCCATATTCCCGTGTTTGGATGGCTTCTGCTCTTTGCCTCTCACTATTTCATTCTCTTTCCCTGCTGGCTCTGCTCTAATTCCCATTTAACATCAAAAAACTTTTATTCCATTGTTGAAATTTGCACAATCTTGAACTTTTAAGCACTCGAGGCCATAGAGCGATGGCCGTGGTTATAGTGCTATAGTTTCAACGAAATGATACCGCAACGTGTGTGCGGGGGGGCGGGGAAAGTTTTGTGGCAAAGCACTTGAAGTGCTTCCCATATTTCGATTATTTACAAAATGGTTTCAATTGTTTAGGCCTGGCTCTTACTTCCTGTCCCTTTTCCTTGGGGCCATAATCATTCCGTTGATTTCGGTGGCTATGGAACCACGGCAATTCGGAATCCTGTGGCTTGTCATAGTCATCCAGTGCTGCTCCATTGTTCTCGATGGCAAAGTTAATCGAAGCTTAATTAGTTGGCTTTCTGATGTCGGAGATTGGGGTTTTTCGTGGCGCTTTCCCCCTGGCAGCTGCTCCCAAGCACAATTGAGTCACTGTTGTTAACTTAACCAGCATAATGAGTCGAAAAACTGTGGCCAACAGTAGCAAACAGGAGCAGCAACCAGCCAAAGATGCCCAATTAGGCCCTGACATTGAGCGGAAGAAAAGTTTCTCGTGTACTTTTTCTCCTTTCGGGCTTTAAGTCGCTGCCAAACAAAACGAGAAAAATAAAGTTAAGCATTACTTGGAGTCAAAGTTGAAAATGCCAAATGAAATACGGCGTAGAAGGGTAGAAATATTTAATGAATTAATTATATTTAAAACTCTTACAAAAATAACTTTTGCTGCTAAATTCTTAATGTCTTTTTTTTAAATATATATTGTGTTAATAGTTCCTATAATTATTTTTTTATAAGCTTGATGTTTACCTTTTAAATATAAACAAAATTTCTTACCTTTTGCCCTTAAAATATTTAAAAAAAAATCAGTGTCTCATTTATTACTAGCTTTAATAAATCACAATTTAAAATGTTGTCTCGCTATTTGACAATGTTTTGTCACTGATTGATTTGTTTTTGGGCAACAAAAAAAAAGAGTTACTATGCCTCATTTAACCAACATTTTTCCATGACAAATTTCAGCTGAATTGCAGACAATGGAGCCGCGTAATGAATTATACAAGTAAATATGCACGGTATGTGCTCACATGTATTTGCTGGATTCCCACGCACATTTGGTCGAAAATTCTTTTTTGTTTTACCATTTCATCATTTTTATACCCTTACAGGATATAGTTTCAGTCGGAAATATGCTACGCAGAAGTCCTTTCGGACCGAATAAATTCCTGATCTCCATTAAGAGCAGAGGCAAATTTATTTTGTAGTTATAAATTCAATATGCTTTCTTTTAACCTAATAAAAACCAACCCAAAAATGCTTTCCAAATTAAATTAAATGCTTTTTTGCCATAGTTATAATCGATTTCAAGCTAAGAGAGTATACAAATTTCGCCTCCTCGAAGCT